ATTCACCAATCTGAAAAAGACGAAGTGAAAAAGAAGTAATCCCGTTATCCAGAAAAAGTAGTTCCAATAGTCTCCTTTGCATTTTTTCCTGTCATATTGAAATGTAGAAGCCAGACGAGGGGTGAGCGTGTGGTGAGTGAAACATTTGTTCACAGGCATATTGTCTAGTACATGGGGTTGGTCACGTGACTTTTTATTTCACAAGGCTCGGTCGGAACTGGGAACTAGGTAACTCATGTCAATATGGCGGACAAACATGGCGGCCATACGACAAGGGGAATACTCTGACGAAGTCAAAGAAATGCAGCTAAAATATTGTTTTCTTGTATAATTTTGTCTTGGTTGAGTGTACTTTTTATTGCTATGTTGGTTTTATCCATTTCTTTTGGCAAATCATCAATGTCGTTACAAATTACAACCGGTATTTGAGTATTTGAGACAATGCCGAAAGATTCTCTATAGATTTCAGGTAAGTTCAACCTAAGCTTTTTAAAATATCCTTTAAACAAGCTCTAAAAAGGGTATGAATTAAGAAACATGCCATAACTCCTGACAAGTAATGCGAAACTGGTTAGCCTTAATGCACCAGTCAATGTAAATCCCCGCCCCCCCCCCAACCCGGGAAGGGGCGGGGAATTGGATAAAGCTTGTTACAAAAGTGAGCAAATGTTACCACCCCCGGGGCAATATATTTATTCCAATGTACTTCCTTGTTCCCGCCTGCACTACCCATCATAAGCAAATTTATAAAATGTTCTCGAAAATTTTTTTTTAATAACTCTTTGTATAACTGACTTTTTACAATTTATTTTTGTTTAACAGTCTTTGGGCGTTCATCTATAAATTTTTGTGTGTGATAGTATGTGTGAATGTCAAGAAAGAATCGAAGGATGGAAACAAATACATATCATTCACGATACTCACATTTCCCTCCGCCATCTTGAAAGTCTCTCCTTCTCGGCCCCAGTACCTCTCCATTTAGCATGAAATCCCCGGGTTTAGAACCGAAGACGAAAATCTCATCCAAGACGCCGGTACCCGGGGAACTTGTAGCATTAAAATTCTTACTTTTTCCCCGCTTAAGTTACTGCCCTTCCCGGGTTGGGGGGGGCGGGGATTTACAATGACTGGTGCATAACGCCAAGATTAATTCGTCATGAGCTGAAGCATACAATACCTTAAGTTATCAATTGCCCAGCTAAAATTATATAGATATTTATTAAGTACCTAACTGTTKACAGCTCTTAAGATAAAACATGTCTAAAAAAGTTTATGCATAGATCACTGATCTGCCAAATTGTTTCACTCCCGGTTAAACTGCATTTTTATTGTTGCTCATACAGATATTATCACAAGTCTTGAACTCTGTTCTACATTTGCTCCACCTTCACTGTTAGATGATGACTGCCAACCTGCTCAAACTGAAAAGACATGGGCTTGAAAGGAAATAGCCTTGTCTACAAAATCCACATTTTAATCATTTTTTAAGTGTACAGTGTCTATTATGTTTTAACAAATACAAATGCATAACCTTAAAGAATCAATAAATTTATTTTTGATGTTAATGAAAGTTGCATAAAACAATTGGCCTATGGCATAATGACGTCACAGTATGTTTACATTGTGGA